TAGGACTTTTTTTTTACTGTTAATAAAATGAAAATGTTTTCAAAATATTGTTCATTTTTAAAAACATCACTTATTTCTATTTTGTGTATGTTTTAAATGCATATACTACATTGGCTCAGTAGTACATGTATGTGATTTTTAAAAAGATACAAAGACTATGGCAGAGGCACAAGATGTTTAGTGCTATCAATACACACAATCAAAAAAGTTTAGAATCAGTGCTTTAGATGAATGGTGATGTACAGAGACTTGACTTGGGGTGGTGAACACACAATACAGTGTATAGAGGATGTGTTCTAGAATTGTGCACCTGAAACGTGTATAATTTCGTTAATCAGTGTCACCCCAATAAATTCCATAAAAAGGAAAATAAATGTTTTTTAAAAGACATGCTAGACATGGTTATGGTAATAGGTAATTGGGCCAGTACAATTATCATATGGTTCAGAACAAAGTGATCTTGGGATCCTGGGATGCCCAGTACAAAAATATAGAGCAACCCACTTAGATGGCTTTTGATATAAAAACAAAACAGCCCGCCCTAACCGGTTTGGCTCAGTGAATAGAGCGTTGGCCTGTGGACCCAAGGTTGCAGGCTCCTCCCCAGCCCGGGCCCTGGTCAGGGCTCGTGCAGGAGGCAACCAATCGATGTGGTTCTCTCACATTGATGTTTCTCTCTGTCTCTCCCTCTCTCTTCCACTCTCTCTAAAAATCCATGGAAAAATATCCTTGGGTGAGGATTAACAATAAATAAATAAATATAAACAAAAATAAATAAGAACAAAACAACAAAAGCCCTTATTTCTAAAGAACAAAGGCATAGCCCTAGCCGGTTTGACTGTGGAAAGAGCATCAGCTTGGGGAATGAAGGGTCCCGTGTTTGATTCCTCGGTTGCAGGCTCAATTCCTGTCCCTGGTTGGAGTGTGTACGAAGGCAACCAATTGATGTCTCTCTCTCTCTCTCTCTAAAAATCAATGGGAAGATATCCTCAGGTGAGGATTAAAAAAATAACAGGCATAAAATGAGCTGCCATCATAGAGTAAAACACACACACACAATAACCAGTGCCCAGACAAGAGTCAGTTCACAGACCTGAAAGCCCATCAGTGAAGGAGGGAACCCAGAAAACCCTTGAAAAAGGCCCTAAGATGCCATCACATGTAAGTAATGTAGCAATCTTCTGACCTCCGATGGGATCCGCTACCATTTGCCAAGGATGGCTGTGCACTATAGAGAAAGGACTTGAGGATTACTGAACATTGGCTCTGAGCTACAGTTAATCCATGGATTAACTTTTACTATGGCCCACTGGTCAGAATGAGAACTAATGTGGGTCATGTGAAAGAAAAAGAAGAAATCAGCACTTTTATCTATAGTATCACAGTTGATGGAAATGAGTGCCTACAGATGTATACTCTCAGATACACCCTCTTTGATTAGTCCTGGCTTTTTCCCACCAAAATTTTCCCCAAATATCCATTTGCAAGGCCAGTCACTGCTGTAGTTGCAGCATTAAGACTGGACTCTAGGGGGTCTGTTCACACAGTTTCACTGGGCATAGAAAACTTGTCCCAAAACAACTCATTACCCTCAGAGACCTTGAAGGACAAAATAATGGTGGCCTCACAGTGGCTGGGGAATGGGAGGAGGGTGTCTCTACTTAAAAGTGTGGGTTTTACCCCACCCCAACACTTGCACACACGTAAACTGAAGATGCCTTCACATTATTTTGGTCTCTACACAAATGTCACCTTATCAGTTAGGATCTCCCTGAAGACATGATAAAGCAGCAGGTCCCAAATCCCTGCCCCTAGCTTTATTGTCCTCCACAGCAATCAACATTTGACAAATTTTATGTTTTATTTATTGTCTGTCCACCTTTCTAGAATGGAAGCTTCATGAGTATAGGAAATTTTACCTGCTCTGCTTGCCCCAGATCTAGTCCAGTGTCACTGTGTCAACCTTGCAAGCTGTAGTGACTGTGCCTGGTGGTGGTTTCACTGGACTAGATCTGGGGCAGAATTTAGGGTGAATTCTTGGCTGTGTAGCTTCCAAGCCTGATATCTAGCCATACCAAGAAATTCTGAGAATCACCCAGCATCTTCTTAATGAAAATTCCTTTTCTGCTATAAAACTTTAACTTTGAAAAAAGGAGGGGACTTTGAGCAAGCTTTTTCGTTCTCTGGACCATGCCCATGCCTTTCTCTCTCATCTTTCCCCGGGTAAGGTCTATCTCTTTTTCCTAAGCTCCAAGGGCCTCTTTTTTTTTTTTTTTTTTTTTTTTTCTTTTTTTTTTTTTTTTTGCCTCTGTAACTAATTTCCTGAGTCCACACAGCCCAGCTGGTTCACCTTTTTTTTTTTTTTTAACCTCAGTGACTTTCTAAATAAATTTTCTCTTATAATTTCAAAAAAGAAAAAAAAAAGGTTTTGAGTTAAGATTGTGTGGGGTCAAACAGCAGCTTCGCCAATGATCAGTTGGCTAAATCATGAAACTGCTCTGAGATTTTTCCCACATTTGTAAGTTGGTAAAATCAGAGTACTACTACTTCATAGGATTGTGGTGAGATCAAATGAAACATTACCTGTAAAATGCCCTGGGACATAGTTCGCACACTTGCAACCAGAAGTGTTTTGACAAATAGTGTTGTGTTTAACTGGCTGCTAACACTTAAGTTATGGCATTTCATAAAAATTCTAGATTTATAACTTCTCTTTAAAAAATCAGAAGCTCTGTGCTCACTTCGGCAGCACATATACTAAAATCGGAATGATACAGAGAAGATTAGCATGGCCCCTGAGCAAGGATGACACGAAAATTTGAGAAGTGTTCCATATTTTAAAGAAAAAAACAATAAAATAAAAAAAATCAGCAGCACTGGCATGACATTTCTACTTTGCAACGAGATTGTGTTGAATTGTCTTCAGCGGTTCTCAACCTGTGGGTCGCGATCCCTTTGGGGGTCAAACGACCCTTTCACAGGGGTCGCCTAAGACCATCGGAAAACACATACATAATTACATATTGTTTTTGTGATTAATCACTATGCTTTAATTATGTTCAATTTGTAACAATGAAATTGGGGGTCACCAAAACAAGAGGAACTGTATTAAAGGGTCGCGGCATTAGGAAGGTTGAGAACCACTCCTTTGGAGGCGGTGGGAATTCACGGCCTGATTCAGTCTATTACCTGCCTGGTCCCAGCTGTAGAGTTTGAATGCGTAGCCCTGTACTAGGAATTTAAAGATTTTCTAAAGCTGCAAAACTTAAAACTTCGGCTAAATTGTCTCTAAGAAACTTTTCAGACTGATTTGTTTTCTGATTGCTGCACAGTAATCCAAACATAGTGGAATTATTTCTAAACAACTGCCATTTTGTTATCTTTAATGTTTCTTTGGATTCACTGGGTTTAGGTGGGCAGTTCTCTGCTCCATATGATGTTGATTGAGACAGTAGTCATCTGGTGCCTCTAGATTGGGACATTCAAGATGGCTCAGTCACATAGTGGGTCATTAGTGCTGTCAGCTGAGGCTAAGCTGGGCCGTCTTAGTACTTCCTCACCTGCCTTGAGGCTTTCCCAGCATGGTAACTAGATAAGAAGCGGGAAGTGAAAGTTGCTGGTTTCAAGGCCTGGGATTCCATAGAAGTCCCAGAATGTCACTTCTGCTACATTCTATTGGTCAAAGCTAGTCACAAGGCTTGCCTGAGATTCAAAAGGGGGAGGGATACGTGGGATGGGAAATAAGCATTTCCTCTTGATATAAGGAACAACACACACACACACACACACACACACACACACACACACACACGACTTTTGGGAGGGCGGCATCTATGGCAGCTCATGACTACATAAGAGCTAACTTTCTATTATTAAATATTTTTATTGATATCAGAGAGGAAGGGAGAGGGAGAGATAGAAACATCAATGATGAGAGAAAATCATTGACTGACTGCCTCCTGCATGCCCCCTACTGGGGATTAAGCCCAAAACCCAGGCATGTGCCCTGACGGGGTTAGAAATTGAACCCATGACCTCCTGATTCATAGGTGGATGCTCAGCCACTGAGCCACACTGGCCGGGCTAGAGGCAACTTTTTTAAAAAAATTATTTTTAGAGCTAACATTTTATGATTACCTACTTTTAGTGTGAGGATGGCTTAGGGTGGAAGAAGTGTCTCTTGGTAGCACAGTAAAAAGGAATTCAAAATTTTTTCTTAGTGCCCAGCCAGTGTGGCTCAGTGTTAACCTATGAACAGGGAGGTCACGGTTCAATTCCCGATCAAGGCACATGCCTGGGTTGTGGGCTTGATCCCCAGTGTGGTGCTTGCAGGAGGCAGCCAATCAATGATTCTCTCTCATTGGTGTTTCTATCTCTCTCTCCCTCTCCCTTCCTCTCTGAAATCAATAAATATGTATTTTTTAAAAATTACTGATTGCCTCAACAAATTTATATTGAGGATAAATGATAGCATTCTCCCTAACCTCTCCTGCATGCATATTTGCCTTTTAAAATCAGAAACTTGTGAGTTACAGGTTGACAAAATGACTATTTTGTGTGTTTAACAGGGAGTCATTCATTTATATTGTCACACCAGTTTCCTCGTCTATACTCCTGGAAGTGTCAGGATTGCAGCCAAAATAGGAAAGGGACCCTGACAGGGACCTGGGGAGCCCTGGTCGAGTGGGCATTTCTGGCCCGAAGAGTGTCATCTTGGTTCATGCGGGGATGATGGAGCTGACCCACGGGTAAGTAAATAAAGTCACAGAGGTCACCCAGAGGAGCCCGGAGAGGTGCAGTGAGTCATTTTAACCTCGCCACACTGCCTGCGAGGGCCTGGAGAAGGGTCTGCCCTAAATTTCCCTAAGAAACTTGAAGCCCGCAAGGTAAACAGGAAGATTAATACAACAGTTAAGTTTCAGGCAGAAAGAATAACACGGTGGCGAAGAAAACCATCAGTCCAGACACCTGGAGCGGAGGGTGAGAGGGAGCAGTGAGCGATGAGGCTGAAACAAGGCTCGGTTCAGGCAGGTCCCGGAGTCGGAACACGCAGAGGCCGCGGGGAGCCGCTGAGACTGTGGTCAAGGGCTAACGACCGCTGTGTCTCAGAGAAGCGGCTTGTCCGAGTTACACAATGAGCAACAGACCCAGAAAAATGAACTAACTCCCGGCCATTTCTAGGTAACACATTCCTAATGCTGCCCGCCCTCCCATGTCTACCCCTGAACCGCCAAATCGGAACACCCAAGGCGCACATCCCAAGCCGCCACGGGCCCTGCGGAAATGGCCTCAGCCCTTCAACCGGAAACAAACAGTGACCGCGGCGCGCGCCACCTAACGGTCGGCTAGACGCAAAGTCAGTCTGGGAAGCCTTGGCACCGGAAGGGGCCGGCTGTTTCCGGTACGGACCCCACGGAGCAGAGGCTAAAAGGGCGATTCACGGAGACTCGGCCAGTGTGTCCTGCGCGCCCGGCTCCGCAACGTCGCAAGTCTGCTTCTGCGCAGGCGCGGGGACCACCCCGCGGGAAACGCGTCTGCCCGGCCGTGCGCGCGCCCGGTCTCCGCTGGGCGCGACGGTGCCGTTTGGAGGGTAAAGCCTTTGGAGCTGTAACGCAGCCTTTTGTTCTCTTAACTACAACTCCCGGCATGCCTCGGCCCTCATACTGATGCTAGGTGCGGTCTCCCAGGATAGGCTCAAAAGGAACATCAGGGAGGGTGACGTACGAAAGGAAAAAAAATTGAAGACGTAGTTTCAGGCCATCGTTCACAGAAGCCCCAGTGGCCTAATGGATAAGGCATTGGCCTCCTAAGCCAGGGATTGTGGGTTCGAGTCCCATCTGGGGTGGTGAGGCTTTTTTTGTTTTTCCTTTCTTAAGCAACTGTAGGGAAATACGCTAACTTAATTTTACTTTTTATAAATAAGACATGTTTGTGTGGTTTCCCTAGGTGTTAGGTTACGAGAGACAGCATACTCCATTTTCCTCCTCCGATTTTGGGAAGTCAATACGTTGAATTTTGTTGTCCCCGCTAGAAATAACGTCTTCTCAGCGTGTTCTGTTTCAAATCAACACCCATTCGCGCCAGGCTCTCTCTCTCTCGAGGCTGGAAAGGTCGGTTAAGCGAACGGCATCTCCAGTGGCGCCGTCAGCAAGGGCCTTCCTTCTCCCCGGCCCGGCCCGGCCGCGGCTCGGCTTTCCGCTGCTTTTCCCTTAACGCCTCAGGGCGCCGCTCGGCGTTCGACTCATGAGGCTCCGCAGAGGGGAAGTGAGCCGTCGGGGAGAGGAGCAGGCTGGGTTCGACCGTACCATTCAGCGGCGGGGCCTGGGGGCGAAGGGGTCGTGGGGCACCGGGCTCCGGGGA